GGAGGGTGTGGTACAATGAGAAATGATAATAGAGGGTGTGGTATAATGAGAAATGATAATAGAGGATGTGGTACAATGAGAAATGATAATAGAGGATGTGGTATAATGAGAAATGATAATAGAGGGTGTGGTATAATGAGAAATGATAATAGAGGGTGTGTTATAATGAGAAATGATAATAGAGAATGTGGTATAATGAGAAATGATAATAGAGGATGTGGTATAATGAGAAATGATAATAGAGGATGTGGTATAATGAGAAATGATAATAGAGGGTGTGGTATAATGAGAAATGACAATAAAGGGGTGTGGTATAATGAGAAATGACAATAAAGGGACGTAATATAATGAGAAATGACAATATAGAGTGTGGTATGGGAAATGACAATACAGGGTGTGGTATAATGAGGAATGACAATAGAGGGTGTGGTATAATGAGAAATGAAAATAAAGGTGTGTGATATAATGAGAAATGACACTATAGGGTGTGGTACAATGAGAAATGACAATAGAGGGTGTGATACAATAAGAAATGACAATAAAGGGATGTGATATATAATGAGAAATGACAATAAAGGGATGTGATATATAATGAGAAATGACAATAAAGGAATGTGATATAAAGAGAAATGACAATATAGGGTGTGGTATAATGAGAAACGACAATATAGGATGTGGTATAATGGGAAATGACAATAGAGGGATGTGATATAATGAGAAATGACAATAAAGGGATGTGATATATAATGAGAAATGACAATAAAGGAATGTGATATAAAGAGAAATGACAATATAGGGTGTGGTATAATGAGAAACGACAATATAGGGTGTGGTATAATGGGAAATGACAATAGAGAATGTGGTATAATGGGAAATGACAATAGAGGGTGTGGTATAATGAGAAATGACAATAGAGGGCTTGGTACAATGAGAAATGACAATAGAGTGTGTGGTATAATGAGAAATGACAATAGAGTGTGTGGTATAATGGGAAATGACAATAGAGGGTGTGGTCCAATGAGAAATGACAATAGAGGAGGTGGTACAATGAGAAATGACAATAGAGTGTGTGGTATAATGAGAAATGACAATAGAGTGTGTGGTATAATGAGAAATTACAATAGAGGGTGTGGTATAATGGGAAATGACAATAGAGGGTGTGGTTCAATGAGAAATGACAATAGAGGAGGTGGTACAATGAGAAATGACAATAGAGTGTGTGGTATAATGAGAAATGATAATATAGGGTGTGGTATAATGAGACAATAGTACATGTGGTATAATGAGAAATGACAATAGAGTGTGTGGTATAATGAGATATGACAACATAGGGTGTGGTATAATAGAGAAATGACAATAGAGGGATGTAATATAATGACAAATAACAATATAGGATGTGGTATGAGAAATGACAATAAAGCGTGTGGTATAATGAGATATGACAATATCGGGTGTGGTACAATGAGAAATGACAATAGAGGGGTGTGGAATGAGAAATGACAATAGAGGGGTGTGGAATGAGAAATGACAATAGAGGGGTGTGGAATGAAAAATTACAATAGAGGGGTGTGGAATGAGAAATGACAATAGAGGGGTGTGGAATGAGAAATGACAATAGAGGGGTGTGGAATGAGAAATGACAATAGAGGGGTGTGGAATGAGAAATGACAATAGAGGGGTGTGGAATGAGAAATGACAATAGAGGGGTGTGGAATGAGAAATGACAATAGAGGGGTGTGGAATGAGAAATGACAATAGAGGGGTGTGGAATGAGAAATGACAATAGATAGGCATTGTAGAACAATTCATTTTTCCTACAAGTTATGACAAGGGTTACGATGAAGGGTTACTTACCTTAACATCTTTACACGTCATCAGACTGATCTCTGATGTATTGGGCTGCAAAGCGTGTATGTTACAAAACATATTGGGATGACATATTAAGGAACCAAGCAGTGAAATAGCTTCTACTCTGGGGGCCTAGAATAAATAACAAACATAGCATAATTAATGACACCTTGCATCAAGTGAAATCATCAGTGTTTGTCACCACAATTCTCATTTTGACATGCAACAGCCACACCCTTTTTATAATCATGAAAACTAAATTTGCTCTGTTATTTAATCTAAAAATTAATTTCTTTTAAAATCGCAATTAGAATTGAATTAATTTAGGTGCAGCAATTAACCTATTTTATGTATTTTTGTGATAAGTTCAAATGGACATCAAATTCTTATTGGCTACAAGTGTTGATTCAAATTTTGAAAAAAAATCTTAAATTTTGTGAGTTCTATTTTGTCAAAAATGAAAAAGATTGACTTTTGAGCTTAAAAGGCTAGCCGACCAGAAGGATACTGTCAGAAACTGTAAAAGTCAATGTACTTTAAGTAAACAACAGAAAAAAGGGTGCGAGATTTTATATACAAAACAATTCTTACTTGTGTTAAACTATGCGAAGACAAACTACTCACCAATTGCAATAAGCACTTAATGACCAGTTTTATTATTATAAATATTCATAATTTATACAGTTGTATGCAAACATTTTTTACTCCTAATAAATATGAAACTTACTTCGAGATCAGGGGTAGATACAATCATGTTCGTCGCCTGTATATAATCTAATATCAACATAGTACTGCCGGGCAAATTACAAGAAAAGAACATCGGAGATGTGTATCTAACGATCGTGTTGATTACTTCCTAGAATGTGTAAATAAAGAAAAGACATATTACTGACTGAATTGTAATGTTTGCTGTAGTGGTGTAGCTCCTTCTGATGGAATGAGCGCTCCAACCTCTTCCTCCCCCCTAGATAATCAACCAAAAGGGGTATAAATAATATTGAATTTAAGATGTCAAATTTTAAAATTTTGTTAAAACATTTTTGATACTGCTCTGTAATGATATGAAATTATAACAATCTGTTATAAGTGAAAACCAAATCTAATATCGATAACACGTAATACCAAATGATATCTACCAGCAATCTTAATAACCTCTATGCGTCTCATGAGAAATATTGAGCAGAGAGTTTTAGAATAATGGAATATTCCAGACCTGATCAGTTCCAACTAATCCATGATGGAGGATTCTATAGAATTGAACAAGGTGATCCATAGGTAAACTGTGGTCATTCCGTCGTACTGTCATTGAACACAGCAACTGATACGCAAGAAGACGTCCACGCTGGTAATTTTTACCTAATGATACTGCCTGCAGAGAGCAAAGAAGAATTTCAAATAATCTGAAATTATTGATTATAATAGTCCTACAATCAAAATAATTTTTCACATTTTCATGCAACATTATTATGTGTTTTTCCAAAAATTAATGTTAATACTTTTGGACAAAAAAAAGACGTACCTTGAAAAGCCATGGAGAAAACATCCTAAGCGGGGGTACTAATCTTGGGGGCGGTGGGGTACTTAAGTTGTCTAATGAAATTCCCAGATTTTCTCTTGTCTGCAAAAAAATTAATGTAGTGTAGAGGTAACTATGTGTACAACATGAAATAAAACGTATGTAATAAAAAATGATATTGACAAAATCTTACTTTACTAAAAACAATCCAAAGATCCCAAAGATACTCATAGACTTCAGCGTGTATGACAGGATCTTTGATCTCATTGATGTCGCCAAGAATACCAAGCATACGTCGCCATAGTACCACAGCTACATCAGGTAGCCAGCCTTGGCGACTACCACCAAGGATTACATGGCAGTTCATGTCAGTTGCACTCTGGCCACAAGCCACATCACTATCAAAGTGGTCACCAGCCTCCGGTGCATCTGCAGAAAATAAAAATAAAACGTAATAATTTTGGATTACCACAGACATGGACATTGAGTTTGGAATTGGAGAACTCTCTCAAATCCCTCTTAACCAACCTTCCACTAAAAACCTGCTGTAAAATTTCCATCAAATACTGTCTACAAAAACACAACTTGCATCCATCAAAAAAAGCTTAGAAAGAACTGAAGGTATTGGAGGCATTAAGTACAAATGAGGAATACTGTATTTACTATACGAGAAACACATCAAGCAAAAATATGAAAATTAGGTCATACATAGATTTCAACCAAAAACTAATCATCATAATCTGCGTAATATGCAAGAGCACCTGTGTGCCATGTTTCATTAAAATCTGATAATTGGTTCTTGAGATATCAGTGGAACAGACACACACAGGCAGACATACATACAGATATACTGACACATTAACCGCAAAGACTCACATTGTGTGATTCACACTTCCAATGAAAGCATTCCAAAATATCCTTACCTAATTCATCCCCCGACACAACTACATTTTCTAAGTGTAAACTTTCTTGAGTCGGCGAATCCTTGGGTTGCAAAAACATGTTTGGCGAGGACGACCTTGATGACGACCTTGACTCCTTTTCCTCCGACGACCTTGACTCCTTTTCCTCCTCCCCATCATCTGGAGCATCTACTGGTGGCGAAACCCTACCAATCTCAAACATACTTGAATTACTTTGTCCCCCGCTTTGGTCTCCCTGGGATGTGCTGTCAAGACTGGCAGTGTCAACAAATGCAGTCAGGCTAGCTAACTCTTGATCTTCGCTTTGTGAAAGATTTGTGCCTGTAATGATGAGATGATACTCTGATTCATATAACTGAAGTAATAATAACAATGTTATGTGGGCATGTTATTTCAAACTTCCCATATGTTATGTGGGCATTTTAATTCAAACTTCCCATATGTTATGTGGGCATTTTAATTCAAACTTCCCATATGTTATGTGGGCACTTTAATTCAAACTTCCCATATGTTATGTGGGCATTTTAATTCAAACTTCCCATATGTTATGTGGACATTTTGATTCAAACTTCCCATATGTTATGTGGGCATTTTAATTCAAACTTCCCATGTTATGTGGGCATTTCAATTCAAACTTCCCACATGTTATGTGGGCATTTCAATTCAAACTTCCTATATGTTATGTGGGCATTTTAATTCAAACTTCCCATATGTTGTGTGGTCATTTTAATTCAAACTTCCCATATGTAGTGTGGGCATTCTAATTCAAACTTCCCATATGTTATGTGGGCACTTTAATTCAAACTTCCCATATGTTATGTGGGCATTTTAATTCAAACTTCCCATATGTTATGTGGACATTTTGATTCAAACTTCCCATATGTTATGTGGGCATTTTAATTCAAACTTCCCATGTTATAGGGCATTTTAATTCAAACTTCCCACATGTTATGTGGGCATTTCAATTCAAACTTCCCATATGTTGTGTGGGCATTTTAATTCAAACTTCCCATTGTGTTTCCCATAGTGTTCTGACATTCATTTAATCACAAAAATTTGCTTCAAATATTACAGCCTGCATAATACTGAATAAGGGAAAATCCAGGCCAATCGTCAATTTTTTCCCCAAGATTTGCACAAATTCTGACCATCAAACATTTCACGTACTAAGTCCTAGGACATCAATACATTTCGATGAATAATTTGAGAAAGCAACTTCAATACCAAACATGCCTATGTGAACACCGCCCTCTTGAGGTTATTTTAGTACAAGGAATATAGGCTCATTAGCACCATACTTTTAATACTGTAAAATACTTTATTTTTGCTTGAAATTAATTTTCGCTATTTTCACTGAAGGAATGATTCAGTGAAAATAAAATCCAGTGAATATACTTTTTTCCCTATATTTTACATTCAACTCGTCAAAAATCAGTGAAAATAAATTCTATACAAAACACTTGAAAAGTCCTTTCAGCGAAAATTAATTCCAGCTAAAATAAAGTATTCTACAGTAATTTTTATTTAAAAAAGAAATATAACATTAATTATAATGTCAAACTATTATGGTTGTATATGTTTTATGTGATAAGCTAACAGTAGTTTCTCAAAAAATGAGAAGACATACCTGTGACAACGTCCCCGATACTAAGTGTATCCGTACCTGTGGACATAGTAAAACCACTTGATGATGAAACATTGCTTATTTCACTACTAAAACTTTGGCCTGTAAACAGAAAGAAGCATAATGTCAATTTGAATAAGATACCCAAGCGCAGAGAGAGTACCATCAAATTTAAATTTTAAACCTGTAACAAAACAGAGATAAAATCTCAGTGTATTTACAAGTATTATGGATATGCCCTCTATTCTCAGCAAACACTCTATGATAATAAATTTACCTTTATTATAGATTACATTACATATATAATACAAAGCACTACTTTTGTTTGTATCCATGTATTCAAAATTCAACATCACTGCACTTTCAAATTCCGACAAATTCAAAGCAAAGTCAGATTATAGAGTACACAGTGTCATCTTTGAGTGTGAGTTGTTATTGTCACTTATGACTCAATTCCCTTTTCGTACACAGGTGACAACACTTCTGCTTTAAAAACAACTCTGAAAACAAAGCTGAACTATTGAACTACGCAGATTGGTATAACACAAAGTCGTAGATTCTTTTTCACCTATTTCTGGTGCAATACATTTATATACATCTCCCCATGGTAGTCTCACAATCTGAAAAACTTTAAGCCAACCTACCCCTCACACAGACAGATTGATAAAACTACAATTTGGTGACGGAGGGGACCATGAAAGCGGTACTTACCTTTTAACCTAAACTCTGATGACATGGTCACCAGATCTCCGGCACTACTGCTTTTCATCAGTGTCCCCGAATCATCATCTTCGCGAGGATCACGTTCAGTTTGACTATATGACTGCTGCCGATACAACTGCCTTCGTGAGATGACCTGACCTTCGTCTCCAGCTCTGGAATGTGTTTCACCTACAAAATGAAGAACACTAAATCAGTGCAATACAAATCTAAGAAACAACACAATACACTCTGATATTACTGATGGGTATTTAAAGCATAGGAGAGCAGCAGAACATCGCAATAAGTTGAATTGAATGATGCCAACACATGTACGTTTTGCATTGTACAACCATTCAAGCGTTAAACAGCATATATTGTACATTTGGTATTCCAGGATTAAAAGCATAAATTTCCAACTCGTATAGTCACATGACATCATGCATGCAAATATACTTTCTGGTCATTTTTAATTCACTCAGTTATTTTTAAATTATTATTCATTGTTCAAATGATTTGAAAGCACTCAGGCAAAAAATCGTTGTCATTCTATAGAAATTCATGTTTTGGTGTGGTAGTTGGCGCCCTCTACAATTGTACAACACTGAACTCTTGTTTTTACAATGCAGAAAGAAAGCGCAATAAGAGATGAAATTGAGCAGACTCTGTATTGTCATGGCGACCAACTGAAAGTTAACCTGTTCACTTCAGACTGTAACTAGTACAGTTAAAGGGGCCATAAGCCAAGTTTATTTCATTCCATGTATTAAATGAATACTGGTGTGTTGGTTCAGTATACACCGATTACAAAAATAAGAACAAATAGGTGATTTTCTGTTCAACTGTGATATCTCGCGAGTTGCATGAAAGACGCTCACCGAACGTTTGCAGCAAAATTTTGATTTGATTTTGAGCTTGAATTGCTTTATTTCGTAGCTCACATTGAAAAGCCGATTTTTGACAGGAGAATATTGCTTTAGAATACCCTTACTTCATCAAAATTGACCATCATCAAACGCGTACAGCACAATATTAAGTATGGAAGTATTTCCCCAAAATACTTTCGCGTTTGTCGAATCCCACACGATGTTTGTCGCCACTACGCAATATGACCTTTGTTTGTCTTGTTTTTACAATTGATCTCATGCATAACGTGGGATCTCACAAAAACGGAAAATGGTCTATTGGTCCAAAAATAGCTCATGACCCTTTAAATATTTTAGTACAGAATAGAGATAATTAACAAAAATTAGCATTTTAAATTAGCAGTTTAAAAATGCACATATTTGACGTTTATTCAAGTCATGGCTTCAGAACAAACTGTTTACACATGCAGGAATACTGACAATAAATAATTATATATAGCACCCTCTTGTGGCAGATTCTTTTAAACTGTTTGTTTATATAAAAGCATGAACAAGTGAATAGCTGCTCAATCTGAATTCAAATGAAATCATGTCACTTTAAGCCAATAGTAGCATTTTAAAAACTGTTCCTACAACAAAAACTAGACTGTGGTTGCAAATAAAGAAAATCAGCAAACTATGACAATCCATGCATAAAAGAAAAAACATGCTATATAAAACTCACCATAAAAAAACAGCCACAGCAATTAATATAAAAAAAAAAAAAAGTACAAAAAAAAACTTCTGGAAGCACCAAGGAGAGGGACAGATAAAAAGGAGCACCACTAAAAGAGGGTCATGTCATGCATAAAATGCCACTTGGAAGAGGCACTGGGTTGAAACCAAAAGCAGCCGAGATATAACAAAATGTTGTCCTCATAGAAAAATGCTGTGCATCAAAATCGCAATGCCTGGTATCAGCTTCTACTGCATTATTACTCAGAACATTACAAACAATGCTACCCCAGCAATGTTCTTTAATGAAACAAGTAATATTGGAAAGGAGGCTAACAGACAATTCAGTCTGCTGCACACATTTGTTTTCAACCACTATGAAGATCAATAAACGATTGTTGTCATTTTTTTTTTATGTTTTGAAAACTAGAGTGGATTAATTTCATCTCAGTAAAAAGGAAACTTATAATTGATATTAAAATTAAATTATAAATGGCATGGCAAATAAAATAATAACAAAAATTATCACTGCTTATAATAAGTTAAGATAGTGGAATATTAATTAATTATTATAATTAGTATTGATGGCAGCTAAGTAAAGTATTTGTGGAAAGTCAACCTACTACAAATACAAGTATCATCCACAGGTTCATCATCAGTGTCTATACCAATATTTGTTTATCACGGGAAGAGAAACAAACAAACAAAAGTTAACGCTGGACCCTATGTACAATGTATAGTATAATGTGCAGATTATGGATAAATATTCAACTTCCAATTTGCTTCATAAAATAAAATAAAAAGTATATGACTGAAGCTGTGCCTGGGTGCCATATGTGTGATTACGACTAATAAAACCGAAAATTAACTTATACCAAAAACAGAATTACAGAGTTTTACAGAGTAGAATGGTGCAGATTATAATCTCTGGTGCAGATATGTTTCAAATGCATACCTGATGATCTATGCCGTAATCGTTCCGTTAATAAAGCGTTTTCGTCTGCAGCGCCAGGACCCACAGTAGTAGCACTCCTTTGTCTGAACCCCTCCCCATCCCCAGGTTTACCATGCCTCGTACCCATGCCTGTCATGCTCAGTCTCAGCCTCTCCAGCTCCTCCTGGGCATGCGGTGACATGGAGTCAGTACGGCTCCATCCTTTGGAAAAAGATCGTTCGTGGCGTCCAGAGGATTTCTTCATGTGTCCAATCTTTCCGAATCTACGTTTCTGTTTCTGTTCACTCAGTTTGTCGAGTGGAAGGTCGCTGAGGTCAAGATTGTACACGTGTCGGGCCAGTACCCTGGTCAATGTCTCCATTGTTTTCTGTGAACAAATAGACATGAAAAAATTACTGACAAAGCTCTTATATTGGCGACAATTTTACAGAGGTCAACAGAGAACAGCCCAGAACTACTGACTTTTACTTAAATTGTCTCCATCCATACTGTTAAACAAAAGTCACTCTTAATTCATTTCATGTGTTAATCTTTTACTGTCAGTAATTCTCACAGACAACCAACACTATAAGTCGTTCAGTAATATATTAAAGCACCTATACAAAATGAAGCGATACTATTTTGTTTTTGATAATTTTATCAAATATGATGCCCCAAATCATCATTTAATTAATTTCACTGAAGGAATAAATCAGTAAAAATAAAATCCTGTAAAAAAAAACAATATTAATTAAGAAACCTTAGAAGACATCAATAGTTTTGAAACTATCACATGGGAACCAAGAACAGATGCATTTCAAAAGACTGAAAAAGTCTAAACTAGTAGTCTTTTAACTTACCGCCCATTCTTTTATTAGTTCTTGCCAATGAGTCAGCGACGAAAGCACCCTAAGCAACTCATCCCATAACTCAATTGACACTGCAACATTGAGGTTAGCTTTGATCCATGTTACAATCAAAGTCTGCACACAGACAAGAAAAAACATTGTCAGGTTCAATTGGTTAGTACTGGTACTCTGAGTGATATATCTCAACACACATAGTTGCCGCAAGTCATGACATGTGCAGCCTCCTCAGCATCGTCCATATCACTAAATATGAACGCAGTTGAACAGAGACTACAATTTATTCTAGGTGGAGTATGTGAACTTGACTTCAAAGCTGAGAAAAGTCAAATTGTATGCAGAGACCACCATATATCATTGAAAGATCGATATCAGAAACAAACAGACTTGCTGAAGTTTTCATTTAAATATGGTACTTTGCAGATGAGTCAATGGTCAGCAATATGAATCGTGACCTCACCCGAGAAAAAAATGAACTAACCTGAAAAACTAAAGCTGCCAGTTGTTTACTCAGAGACTGCTTGCCGCGATCCGGTGGCTTTTTAAGAATAACTTCAGAAATACGTAGTAGCACCATCAACAATTGTTCCCTGAGAATGAGAAATTGTTAAATATCAGCACTGCTATGATGCATAAACTATGGCCATACATCAATAGACGGGAGAACAAATAACTACCGTACTCACCATGTTTTCTTTGACATAGAGACGTGCATTACAACGTGCCTATAAATATGTAAAACTCTTTTGCACAAATCAACCTGCAAAGTCAAGAAGAATAGGAAATAGAAATCACGATATATCAAATCATTTTAGAACTTTCAGAAATTTAAAAAATAAATCAATAGTCGTTGTGCCGCGTCCTGTTCGATATGGGACTTAAAGCGACATATACAACGCGTGTAAAATACATTGTTTATTAACATGAAATTCCATCACGTGCTGCGCGACGACTGCTGCGCTTTAAATAAAATCTGATAACAGATGGATAAACGAATTAGGAAAAGCAGTCCGGATAAATTGAATCGCAAA